TAAGCAAAGAAAACAAAGCTCTTCCCACCTGACTATTACCACTTTTCTTCCTGCCTTTTTCTGCTCTCCACTTAGTTTTGCTTTTCTAAGTATAAGGAAGGAAAAGTTGCCTCCTTCAGTGCGTCTTGTTATTATTATGCCTATAAATAAAAATTATATTGACCATACATTCTGGAGGTTAGTTTTAAACATACTATGAACAAGCATACATTATAACCTTTCCAAAAGGTATCTTCTAGAAGACAGATCTTCAGATCAGCTTGGTACTGGTTATAGGAGCACTGATGGATATGAGGATGGGGGATGCTGCAGATGTCTAGCTTTTCTCTTTAAGCGGGAGATTTTAAAATACAGCAGAAATTAAAAAATCATGCCTTGACTTTACTCCTGTACCTCTGCCAGTCTAACAGAAGAAAAGTGCGCTCTATACTTAAGATGTGGACTAGAAAGACATCTCAAGTGGTTATGGCTGGGGAAGGATTAGCTAGCAGATTGTGAGCGGTATTAGTTCATCGTACTTTCTACTTAGCTCCTGGCTTGGGGTTCCTCCACAGCCTCACTTGAAATAGTACCTCTGTTATGACCTGCACCACGAGCTGCTGTCATCGTTCCTTTTTTAGCAAGTTAATTCCATTCTGCTTCTGGCATCTGGGTTTAATAGAGATTAATACCTCTCTTTCCTGCATCAACAGGAGCAAGCTTCAACATAAAGCCAAGAGGTGTTAAACCTTCTGATCTGCTCCGGACGGGCAGATTGGGATGGAGGCAGACTCCCAACATGCAGAGCATGATGAAGGGAGCTGGTGTCGCTGGAGATAGGGATGTGCTGGAGCACTGTGGTCTCCAGGGATCAGAGCTGAGTGGGGCTGGGCAGCTTTTTGTCTGCTTAAGGGAAAAAAAAAACGAACCAAACCCTAGTTCCATTGCAAATATGGAAGTTCTCCAACTCAGGGGATGAATTACACGGGTTTGGTTTCTTTTGAAGCTTTGCATTCCTGGATGCTACCTGGTCATGTAGGGAGCTGCTGGTGGGGAAAGAAAATCACATAAATCGGTGAGTGTTTGATAACGTTCTTTATACAAAGTGGAGGAACGGTCTAAAAAAAGTAAGTGTGGGCTATAATTGTGCAGATAACAAGGATGTTGTGATAATAATATTAAGAGCTGTTGATTTATGAAATTCATGAACTTTAGTTTCTAATTATGCAGTTGCCCGTGTACGCTGAAGTGAAGCCTCAGGTCGCTAGGTCAGACCAGTGCTGTATTAATGATTTCTCTCCAGCCAGAATTGTGGCAGATGACCACATTTTTCTGGGAGGCAGTAACAGAATTATTCGGATGGCTATTTTAGCCTTTGTACTTGGCTCAAGATTGCTGTCTTATTTAGTGTTCTATGGTAGATTTTCTTTCAAATTGTTATAAGGACAAACGGGTTACTAAAACATAAACAAAACCCAAGAGTTTGAAAGGGAACCTGCTGATTCAAATGTGCTGAGCACTAATGAGCAGAGGTAGACCGAGTACATTCATATTCCTCTGCTCGACTGGAAGTGACTAAAGTGGAGGAAACAAAATAGCTGCAACATGTAAAACATTTCCGAGAAGATCTTCGCTGAGAATAAAAAGGTATTGATGAAAAACTAACAGCAGTGGTGTCTCCCAAACAATCGTTCTAGGACATTGTGTTCTCTCTCCTCCACTGTGTGTAGGTAAATGAATAATCCGTGACTGACATGAGAATGTCTGGGAAGGGGAGAACTGGGATCACTTGAGTGAGACGAGGGGGAAGCAGCCTCTGGGGAGTGTCTCCATCCCTGGAGAGAGTTGCTTTCTTTTCAGTCTCTGCTCTTTACTGGAGAGGAGAGGCAACACTGCAGCCTGTTAAATTTGAATAATACAGATTTATTTGTGGATGGTGCATACTTTTTTTTAAAAAAACAAAAAAAACCCCAAAAAAACCAAAGAACAACTCTATTGAGAATACCAGAAAGATTTTTGATGGCTGTGCTGTGTTAATGACCGTGCTTATGGCATCCCACAGCATCTGAGAAGGAGAACTCATCATCCATGTTCAGACAGAGAACTGACTAGAGGCTGGAAGAAGGTGAGAGGGACATAGAGAACGTGGGAATTTCTCTATATGCAGATTAAGTCAACTTTTAAATGCATAAGAGATGAAGTCCTTGCAGAGAAGCTCAAAGCTGGCTTGTTCTTAAGAAAAATGTGTGGAACAGGGCTGGATAGAGCACAGTGGACAATGTCAGGCTTGCCAAGAAGGCGAAGATTTGTAGAGCTCAGGCTTAAACATGCTTTTTACATTAGATTTATATTTAAATCTAAATATTTAGGTTTAAAAAACGAGCTTGCAACAATATGAACAAATTGTCTTCCTTTAGATGATTTTTAATGTATGCAGACATCACAATAGCAATATGCAATCACACTGATTCAACTTTAAGTTCATTGAGGTCCTTCGGGAGAAAGCCTGAGAATCTGAAAAAAGATTGTAGGATATATTGCTCCATGTCGATAGCCATCTACATCAAATAACTACACTATTTTTAAAAACAGGAGAAATAATTCTGGAGGAATATAAAGTAGCTACTTTAGACATGAGGAAAATACTACATTATTATCAAAAAATCACTAGTATTTTGAAGTTAAAATGTTCCATCATCATTATGTTTGTTATATTGTGATCTGCATCTTCAAACACAATTACAAAGCATTATAGTCATAAGAAAGCCTAACAGCATCTGAATTTGATTGACTTAGTAATCAGCCTTTCTTCTTCCAAAATTGGAAGCCTTCTTTCTTCAAAGACGATTGAATCTCAGAAGTTGTAAGTGTGCTTCCATTACAATCTTGTGCATGGAACATGAGTGCAAGCTTTTCCGTAACGGTTTTTGCTTTCATTACAGATGGTTTTTGAAACAGATAGAGAAGTAGAAAGGCATGGGAGCTGGAAACCAGATGGGAGTACAAGTCCGGTTCCCAAATGACAGGAGGAGCTCAAGTGTTTTGCCAGATCACTTTTTCAGTGTTATGAAACCTTAATCATATTTAGCAGGTGAAAGTGTAATATCAGGGCTAAGTCATTGGTATTCACCATATGAGTATGCCTAGCAAGTGTACCACGAGCCCAAACTGTGGGTGTGCTTGTGTGGTAGCTGGTAAGGTGTATTTATCCTCCCTTGCTTACCTAGCTCCACGGATGACTACAAAGAAGGGGTTAGTCTAAAGTACTGCATTGCATCTTTTTTGCTATCTGTTGCCCTTGGATCAGGGTCAGAGACAAGTCTCAGCACTTCTCCGAGTACTGCAGTGGTTTCTGAGCCAGCCGCCTGATTGAGCTACAAGAAGTGGAGAGGGAGAGACAGAGTAATCTTGTCTTTTTGGTCTTATTGCTCTCCTAAATACCTGTGCTTCGTTCCTCGTGCAGTGAATCCCAAGAAATTTTATTCCATTTTATTCCATTTTGAAACGTGCCATAGCTGCTCAGGTGAGCCTCGAAAATCTGGGATAGCAGGCAGTCCTTAAAACTGTATAAGCATAAGGTTGGAAAAAAAAAATTCTTCTTTGGAAATTGGTTCTAAATTCTCCTCTTAAACTTGTGGGCATAGATCTTTGATTTCCAATCAAGGTGAGGGGCTCACTAAAACTTGGTGGGGGTAGTAAGTCACATTAGTCCTCAGAGTACATTTCCAGCAATTTAAATTACCTGAACATTTCTTTTTATTACAAATGATTCTTGATCTGTCTGTTTGTACTTTCATGGATTTCAATCATAATGTAATATGAATTGATTTCTGTCCCTGAGAGCTAATGACAGACCCAGTTTCTTTGAAATGCTCGAATTGGTTATACTGTGTATCTCATGTGAAGCCAAAGGACTTATTATCCAGGATAAAGCTAGTGCCTAGATAGGGAGGTCAAAAACTAATCTCTTTGCTGGCTTCCTGGTGATTTAAAATCTGCTGAAATGGTTAAGATATTTGAATAAGTATACTAAATCATCAGAAAAACTATGTGATCCTGCGTGGTGAATTTTATGTTGTCCAGATTCAGGACTATTGCAAGTAAGACCTTGTTTCCCAGTGGAGAGGCTAAGCGGGTTGATGCAAGATGCTGGGTGCTTCCTCTTCGTTTACCCTCATCCCCATTCTGCTCAGAAGCCATGGGGTCAGGATCTCAGTCAGAAATTGCTGGCTAACGTGTGACTATTACTGAAAAAGCATTTATCTGAGCAGAGCAATTCAAAACAGAAGTCATATTCTCTCTAGCAACTGTACTTTTGGTTTTGTGTTGTTTTTTTTTTAAGATCGAGTGACATTGATTCTGTTCTGCATTACATCGTTGGACAAGTTGGCGTGTGCTGTTTGATCTTGTCAGTGGGAGTATTTTGGAAGTCATTTCCTTAGTGTCGTGTCTTTTTCTTGTTCTCAGCCTGCTGTAGCAGAGCTGTCGGCACGGACGTCCCCCCGAGCTCCGAAGCTGGCATCCTTCTCCATTCCCCATATCCCCCTCACTATAATCATCCTTCCCCTGTGCCTTTTCACTCATAGACTACCATGTGTCCTCTCCAGATCTGTTTCTGTCTCTGCTGTTTGGTCGTCTTTGGTCTGTGAACTCTTCCAGTGTGTAATATATTACACATATATTACCTAATCCATATGTTCTGATTTAAACAGAGTTACTCTGGCGTAAGATGGCACAGATGGGTGTAAGGTGTGGTCTCAATTGTTTTACCTGATAATTGACATTATCATTTTGCAAAGTAAGTATTAGTTGCAAAAGGGACAATGAGCTTCTGCTTTCCCTAACGTGCTAATCACTGTAAGTATTAATAACATGCCAGTTTTACACTTGCCTTCAGCAGCTCTGCGAAGCACGGCGTGCCCGTTCTCACAATATGGATACCTTGCGCTGGTATGTGTAACAGCCAGCAATGTCAGTGCCGCTCGAGTGTAACTGCATCTCCTCATTTTTATTGTTTCCAGGTTTATTCCGATTTATAGGGGACCGAGTCATACGTACAAGATACAAAGGCTGACAGAATCCACATGTTACTCGTTCAGAATACAGGCGGTCAATGATGCTGGGGAGGGACCTTTCTCAGAAATATGTACCTTCTGTACAACTAAGTCAGTCCCACCTGCAATCAAAGGTATGCAACAGATTATTTTTTTTACATATACATAAGTAACATGTAATTATTTAAGTAATTGGAAAGTATGCAGTGAGTTTGTAAGGGTTAACGTGAGAACGCACTAACACATGTGAAATATCAGTTTGTGCTGCTTGTATATTTCTGTGAATTGTAAAGTTACATTGTGGTGGGAAGCTAAATTATCACCAAAAAAAAAAAAATCATATAAACAATATAAATGTTATACCAATCACTGTTGTTATACATAAACTATTAAAATGCTGCTAACAATAATGTTTACCAGAGCGTTGCTCTGGATTACCACAGCACTTCTTCTGTAAGGGATGTAACAGCTGTAGTCTGGATGTGTACATACTAACTTAAGCATTAGTGAAATTTAACGTTGTTTTTAGTTGTGTAGGTGATGTTCAGCATAGAACTTCAGAGTTTATTTTTTCTTTAATGTATAAAACCAATGACAATTATTTCACATACATAAAGCATTGGATTTAGAACTCACTTAGCATGTGTACCACTAGCAGAAGAAAAGGCCTAATTAAATGAAGTTTTATAATGAAATAAACTGAGCTGAAATCAGATGCACCTTTTATACCTGTGTGCTCAAAACTCCTCTGTCAGGCAGTACCATTTACTGTGAGAAACAGCAACCGTTAATTGGTCAGAGAGGTTTCCTTTGCTCTTCTGTGTTTACAATCTGGCTTTGGTGATTTTGACACCATGTGTCATCAAAGATTTAGAGAGAGGAGAACACTACCGGGGCGTAATTTCCCTGGTGCCTAGGTTAGCTGCTCTGAATCACCCCCAGGAAGAACAACACGCTTGAGCGCAGAGAGAACACTGGGAGGCTGGCTTTGCTACGCTAAAATCAGTGTGTGCGAGAATCCCGCCTTCGTTTCTGCCTGCGTATCCCCTGGGGTTTGACACTTGCTTCAGTGCTGTTTCTGGAAGAAGATACCTGCATGTGTTTGGTGTAAAGTTCAAGGGTAAATATACTTACCCAACGGTGAATTATCCTGATTCACTCTGTTACGCAGTTGTGAGACATGCTACCCAGCAAAGCGGAGGGACCTCATGCCAGGGGAACCCAGCTGGCGTAGGTGACGGCAGCGGGGAGGGTGTGCATCGCCGCTGGAGCATCCGCAAGTTGTCGGAGTGCCCGGGCACAGGCGCATGTCACTCGTGGATGCCACATCCGTGTGACATTCTTTTAGCTGCATTAAGTGGATAAAACTAGCACAGGGATGCTGGCATGTGCTGCAGTCGCATTTTCATTTTGTTGGATAGAAATCCATTTTGTTAAATTCAGAGCTCACCTAGGTTTTTGTTTTGAACTCCCTGCCTGCTTATTTAGTTCCTGTTAAATATGACTCATACCCTGGACTGAATATCAAGTAGTTAAGACCCGGTGCAAATACCAGGTCGTGTGTGGGCTGGGACCACAGGTACATGACAAAACCCCAGCTGTAATGGAGAAAAGGGCACAACAAAAACTGCGTTAGTGAGCACTGCCGTGGGGAGGAAATGCCACGGGGAAAAGAGAGCTGTTGAGGTGAAATGATGGTGTTGATTCCCTTCCATGTTCGGAGCAATGAAAAGAAATGGAGGTGATAAACTTAGTACAGTTTTTCATGTATCAGAAGCACATGTTTATTTTCCTATGGAGTATCCCAATTACTCACTTAGTGATGCCAGCCCTAGAATAGCATTCTTCTTAATGGCAGTGTTTTGTAAGTGTCAGACAAAAATCTACGTGTATCAGGTTGAGGGATGGAAGGAGGAGGGAAAATAATTGAGAATGTTGTTGTCAGCTGAGATGAAGGCATCTATTACCAGTCTCCCAACGCTGGCAGATGTGCAGAGAGAAGCAAATGGATATTGATTACATTTGGGTCTGTGTATGATTCACGTGTTCCTCTTGGGTGGTAATGAATTAGTCTAAAATTAAGGTAATGTATGCAACGGCAGCAGCATTTGTTTCTTTGATAGACTCTCCTGTAGTCTGTTTTCGTAGGGTTGGGAATCTAGATTGCCTTTAACAAGCTCATGTCCTGGCACATGTTAACCACTCGGTAAAGCGTTCAGCACTTTTTTTCGGTCATGTGCTTGCTTGCTTTGCCTGATCAAGAGGTTGGTGGACCCTGGATGCTGTTGCAGTTGTTTTGATGCCTTCCAGTGGTGGATGCTTAGTTGTACATATAAACGTGCTGCTGTTGCTGTTCGTGCCCTGCTCGGCTCACCTGCAAGCTTGCCGTGGGACATAGTACAGCAGCTCTTGGCTTTCAGCTAGTGGGAGATCCTTTCCCAAGGATGGCAGCATTGTAACAGCTGACAAATTAGATTTCTCTAGCGTTCTAGTGAAAGCACTGGTCTAAGCCTGGCTAGAAATAGCAGGTCTGATCATCTGAATGTCAGGCTCAGAATTAGATACAAGTCCAAGTCTTTAAAATTATGCTTCTTGCTTCCCAGGCTGGATTTAATCTCTAATACAGAAGATTATTTAGCTTCCCATCTCATGTTCCTTCTCCTGTTTTTCCTGAATGAAATGTTTGATGTTATTCCTCTCTTTCAATGACGTGTAACATGGGAGGAATACGCAGGCATCTCCACTGGCACAGGTGTTTGCTCAGAACTTTATGAAATTGCTGCTTTTATTAATGCCAGCGCAATTCATGTGATGGCTTCTGCTTTGAAAAGATCAGTGCACAGCGTTGCAATTGGATTTTAAAAGTTTTCTTTCACATCCACTCCCCCTTTCTAGCGGCTCACACATCTGACAGATGATGCTCCAACAGCTCGCTGTCCTTCTGCAGAAGTGATCTGGATCCTGCAGTAAACATCTTAGGAGCTTGTTAATCAGCTCTAAATTTCACCCGATTTTCTGTGGGTTGTGGTTGTTGTTGTTTAATACCACAAGAATCCTGAACTGCTTAATCAGGCAAGACTGTCCTGAAATAAATGAGACTTTTGAGTGACTTAAAAGTTTTACTTCTTTCATCCAGTGGTGATGGCAGTTTGATTTTTTTGGCCACATAGATACAGTACAGATTCTGTGCTACTAACTGCTGTCATGTACCAAAGTTCTCTTTTTAAAATGTTCTCGTATATGTTTACCCGTAAAATGAGTAGGATTTCAATGCAGTCTTTATATTAAATAATAACACATTTCATTTTATTGTAGCCCCTCGAGTGACACAGTTGGGAGGAAACGCCTGTGAAATTACCTGGGAAATGGTCCCACCCATGAAGGGAGATCCTGTTGGTTATGTTCTGCAGGTACTGGTTGGGAGAGAATCCGAATACAAGCAGGTAGGAAAATGGTCTCATTTTAATATTGCTAAATTGATGACATAATGGAAATGTTTTTGAATGTTTGCTGTGCAGCTTCTTTCTACTATATTGAATTATACCCTATGGTGATTGGTCACGTGAACTTTGGTAAAGGACGAGTCAGAATTAAGGGTTGTTTTCTCCCCCGAGGGACTATATAGAGCATTGTTACCTTATCGGAGTGATTTGCGCCCTGTCCGTAGTTAATCGCTATTTCTAACGGAACTAACCTTTGAAAAGTTACAATTCTGTCCACCCGTGCTTTCTTCTGAACTGGCTGGTGCTAACCGTTGTCCGAAAATGAGAAGATGAAGTATGAAGATGAGAAGATGAAGTCCTCGTTCACTAAGCCATTTCCAAGACCCTCCATCAAGGATTTCAGCCAAGTACACAACTTCTAATGAGTTTGTTCAGCCATCCCATTCCTGCCTAAGGTTTCGATGCCAGGATGTGTAACTCCTGTGTATCAGCTGCCCCACAGAACCTGCGTCTGTTCTTGCACTGTGGAAATAAAGGGAATGAAGTACGGCTGATCCTTCTTTCCTTGTCTGTCGTGATTAGAGATCACAAGCGGGCATTTCCCCAGAGCACCTGAAACAGAACAACTCCTTCACAGCTAGGTCTGGTCTTTCATCTATCGCACCTCTGACTGTGATTTACAGTGGACTTCTTCTGTGCCCTGTCTTCTCCTTGTCCTTATTTTCATTGTCATCTGGATTCCAAATAAGTCCAAATTAGGGAATGAGATACGTTAAGCCTTTCATTAAATTCTTAAAACTGTGAATGAGGTAGTACTTTGCAACTGTCTTTGCTCCTCTTCAGTCTATTTTTGAGTATTACTGCAAATTAATGAATTACAAAAATGACATAAATAAATGCAAGGCAATTGCAAAAGATTCAGAAACCTGTTTTTGTTGGGAAACGTTTTTGGTGCTGGTGTAGGTAATAAAACCTCCGTGTGCTGTGGTGGCCTCGTAATGTGAGTGGTAAGTGGATAAGTGGACCCATTTTGCTGTTGCCTGATTTACAAAGAAGCCTTGATGTATAACAGCTTCAGTAACCATAGCTTCGGTGCTTAAAATGTTCTGGACGTTCTTGGGGAGAATTGGGCATGGCTTCATGTTCCTTTAAGGCAGGTGATGGCTTAATCTTCGCAGTCACGAAATTGTGGTATGAAAAAAAACCAGCAATAAAGGAAATAAAGTACCTCAAGGTCTTATGTTGAAGGTCTTCGTTTCTCATGAGGCATGACCCTGATGAGGGGTCCTTTGCTTGAGCTTTCACAAGTAACTCACTAGAAGAAGCTCTAGGCTGGGATGCTCAAAGCTGACACTGGCTTCTGTACTTGGGCTGACCGATAACCAGCCACGGAAAAGAGGGAGAGTTCCACTGTTTCACCTTCCCAGAAATCAGTTTTGCCTATCAAAATGATTTATCTTCATCATGAATGTGGGTGTCACCTCCGCACTGGGGCACATCACTGACTGTCTATTAGCTGAGCTGCAGGAGCGATGTGCATGCTCTTAGCTCCTAGTATGTGAATAGGAGTGTCGTGGTTTAGCCCCAGCCGGCAGCTGAGCACCACGCAGCCACTCACTCACTTCCCAGTGGGATGGGGAGGAGAATGGGAAGGAAAAGGCAAGACCTGGTGGGTTGGTATAAGGACAGTTTACTCGGATAGCAAAGGGAGAGGGGAAGACAAAACAAAACAGTACTTAACAGAGTGTACAAAACTGGTGATACACAATGCAGTTTCTCACCCGAGGACCGTACAACTCAGACCGCACACTCAGACCTGTCCCGAAACCGGACTGTCCCCAAGCCACGCGTCCTGGAGCTGCTACCACCCCTCCCCGACTAGCCCCCCTTTTATACTGAGCATGATGTCACATGGTATGGAATAACCCCTCTGGCTAGTTTGGGTCACCTGTCCTGGCTGTGTCCCCTCCCAACTCCTTGTGCACCCCCAGCCGTCCCACTGGCAAGGCGGTGCGAGAAGCAGAAAAACCTTGGCTCTGTGTAAGCACTGCTGAACAACAGGTCCACATAACAAAAACATCTCTGTATTATCAACGTTGTTTCCAGCACAAATCCACAACATAGCCCCATACTAGCTACTGTGAAGAAAATGAACCCTCTCAGCTGAAACCAGGACAAGGAGATAAAATAAACGTCTTTCAGTGCTTTTCTGGCTAATGCATTTCACTTTACCTTTGCTGTGGCATGCATGTGATCATTTGCTACTATTTAGCTGAAAAGTAATGTTACTGATATGTTAATTACATTTGAAGTGCAAGTCCTAAATTTACTTTTAAATCTGTTTTGTTCCCTGCAAGTGACGTATATATTTTGCATATATATCTCAAGGGGCATATTGTATTAGAACAGTTTTGCAAATTGTTTTGGAGCGTTGCACAAATTAAAAATATTGTAGATTTTCAGGCTATTAAATATACCCATGAGAAGGAACAGCATCTTAAGCGACTGGAGTTTCTATAGCAGTTGCCAGTACATTTTGCAGGATCCAGGGATAGTATAGCTGGATAAGGAGATAAATAGCTGCATGAAGTATTTTTTTGTGTCCCACTGGTACGGAAACAAGTTCAACAAATAGCTATTTACGGGCTGTGCAGGACTTTGTATCACATGTAGGATTGCTCATCCTTGGACACTTTCCCCTTTGTTCCCCCTCCAGGACACAGTTGTCTGTCCTGCGGCACAGAATCATAAAATATCTCAAGTTGGAAGTGACCCATAAGGATGACATGTTTTACACCAGCCCGAATGTAGATGAGTTTCATAGAATAAAAATCTACTTTTAAAGTCACCTTAAAATTGAAATTTTTAAACTAATGAACATATAAAACTGTTTCTCTGTTACAAGGCTGTAATCCTGTCAGTAGTCAGATCACTTGATTTGCAGCAATTTAAAGGCAACTATTTAAGACAAGGCTTTAAACAGTGGTAACGAGGAAGATGTGTTACAAACCCATGCAACACTGTCTCTCTGTCTACTCCCAATTGATTTACTTGAGATGAATACAGCTGATAAATGACCAAACCCAATTTCCTCGTTTTATCTTAAAGCCCTAATTCTTGCTTTCAGTCTTTAAATGAGTAAAAGCTCATGAGTGTAAGTTCATGTGCAGGTGTATCCTGGAGCAGAACAAACCAATTAAAGGGTAAAGCATTTATTAAACATTACCATCTGTAGAAGTGACTATGCACGGCAGAAATCAAGTTGATGATGCATGTCCATCTATTTTTGTGTAGGGA